TTTAAGCAGCAAGGAGGCCGCTATGTCTTTCAATGTTCCACTACCGGCCGAGGTTCGCGCCAACTGGACCGGCGAGAAATGGGAGGACGTGCAAGGTGCGGAGAAGAAGGTGCTTGAAGGTCAGGTTCGAGGTGTAGGTTTATTTTCCCTGCGCATCGAAGATTGATCGACGAGACACACGGCGCGAATGCTAATGCCTTTTGATTTACACAGCAATGGAGTGACAAGTTGATTATGAGTTATTGTCCTGCGGACGGACGAGTACTGGGCACCGGAATCAAGCCGGACACCGCCGACGATGTCAATCGAGCGATACAAGCTGCCAAAACCGCGCAGGTCGAATGGGCCAAGACTAGCTTTGCCGATAGGAGGAAGGTTCTTCGGACATTGCTCAAGTGCGTTCGCGAGCACCCTGAACAAGGTTCAAGCCAGAAACAAGAAGCTAACGATCGATTGGAATTCTGGCAGATATGTTCTCGAGCGCCAAGATGAGATCGTCACTGCATGTTGCCTGGATTCGGGGAAAACAAAAGTCGACGCCTCGTTCGGGGAGATCCTCGTCACAACGGAGAAGCTGAAATGGACCATCGACCACGGCGAAAAGGCCCTGACGGCTGAAACCCGACCGACCAATTTCCTGATGATGTACAAGAAGAACATGGTCACGTACGAGGCTCTGGGCGTTGTCTCGGCCTGCGTCTCCTGGAACTACCCGTTCCACAACTTCATCTCCCCGGTCATCAGCGCTATATTTGCTGGGAATGGTATTGTGGTGAAGCCGTCCGAGCAGACTGCATGGTGCACCACGTTCTTTCTTGAAATTATCCGAGGCGCTCTTTCGAGCTGCGGTCATTCGCGAGAGCTAGTACAAAGCGTTGTGTGCCTTCCCGATGTCGCAGGCACCCTAACATCTCACCCGGATATCTCACAGTTGACCTTCATCGGTTCCCGGCCCGTCGCCCACAGAGTGTGTGAGTCCGCAGCCAAGGCATTGACACCAGTCACCGTGGAACTGGGCGGGAAGGATCCCGCCGTCATCTTGGACGACGGCCGGACCGTGAGCGAAGTATCCTCCATTTCCTCGGTGCTCATGCGCGGTGTTTTCCAATCCGCCGGGCAAAACTGCATTGGTGTGGAGCGCGTCATCGCCCTCCCAGGCGTATACGACAAGCTTCTGGACACCGTCGCCCCTCGCATTGAAGCCCTCCGTCTTGGCTCCGTTTTGCTCGACTCTAAACCAAATGATTCCCAGCAGAAACCAAACACCCCGGACATGGGCGCGATGATCTCCCCAGCATCCTTTGATCGATTGGAATCTCTCATCGAAGACGCTGTCAGACAAGGCGCACGGCTAATATGCGGCGGTGGACGCTACAATCACCCGAAATACCCCCACGGCCACTACTTCACGCCCACGCTCCTTGCCGATGTGACTCCCTCTATGCGGATTGCCCAGACGGAACTCTTTGCCCCGGTCTTTGTCCTCATGCGCGCGGAATCAGTGCCCCACGCTATCAGCATCGCAAACTCAACAATGTACGCCCTCGGAGCAAGCGTTTTCGGGTATAACCAGAAGGATGTCGCGGCATGTGTGTCTCAGATCAAAGCGGGCATGGTGTCCGTGAACGACTTTGCCAGTTACTACGCGGTCCAGCTGCCGTTTGGCGGTGTCAAAGGTTCCGGATACGGTCGGTTCGCCGGAGAAGAGGGTCTCCGTGCGGTGAGTAATATCAAGGCGATTTGTGTGGATCGCTTCCCCAAGTTGATGGCTACGAGGATTCCGCCTAGGGTGGACTATCCGATCCAGAAGGGTGATGATGATAAGCAGAATGGTACCGGGGCTTGGGAGCTGTGCAAGGGTGTGGTTGAGACGGGGTATCAGTTGACGCTGGCAGGCAGGATAAGTGGGATCCTGCGGCTCTTGAAGAATATGTGAACGGATTATACACTGTATCAAGGTGAAATACCTGTCAATAAGCCAAAAAAAGTAAGGGTATAGATATTGTAATTTATATAATGAAATTATGATCCGCACTACTCCGTACTGATGCTGTACATGGTAATTAGACGCATGCCCTGCAGCATGTGGTCAATGCTGGGCTCCCTACGAACCCCTCGCTTCGCTCGCAGTCTTGACGACCCTCCATTGACTGAACAGATCAATGGGTGTCTCTTCCATCCAACTAGGCAGCTCGTCCACGTGCAAGACATCCCGCAAATACCGTCTCGCCACCTCAATTTGTCCATTGGCTCTACCCAGATAGAACACCGCACCCTCTGCCGGATTCGCGCTCGCAGTCTCTATCTGCTGCGGGAGCTTCAACATCAAATCCAGCAACCAATGACCAAACGAATCACCCAGATTCATCGCCCATTCAGTAATCTCCGGATCATCCGCAGGAACAGATTCCGCGCTCGCGCGAAGCAACGTTTGGAAAAGTGCTGGGTCATTCCGTGCGACTCGAACAGCCGTGCGGAAATGTTCGGATGGTATGCTGTACGGCAGGCCGCCGGCGATGGTTGCGTTGCTGCGGAAGACGTACTCGTCGATTTTGAGGAGAGTTGCGAGTGCTTTTGTGTTGCTCTCCACGAGGGCGATGTGGATGCCTTGTTGCAGGGACTCGCGAGAGACGGAGACTTCTGTCTCCAGGTGGTCGGAGCGATTGAGCCCGCAGGCGATTCGGACGGTTTCGAGGTAGGTTGCGTGTTCCTCGCTGAAGCCCTCTTCGCTAGCGGCGCGAAGGAGCTTCTCGGGGAAGTGTTTGATGCGGAGGATCTTGTGGGTTTGTTGCTGGTGGGTTTCCTGGCACGCGATACTTATTGACACGAAGGGAGCGATGGATAGAGTGTAGTGTTTGCCGTCTTTGTCGGTACCTTCGTATGTAGAAGTGTCATCTTCTCGCGCGAGGAACCGATCTAAGGATTCTTGTTGATCTTTAGTCATCTCAATACCAGCATTGACCCAATGTCTCTGGATAGTCAGGTTCGTCATGTCTGACAACTGATTGAGCAACCGGGGTATCGTGCACCACCGACAACGCAAGATGGAGGTTTGAAGAATTTCGCGATCGTCATCCTGCAGAGGAACGTAGCCCAAAGGTCTCAGTATCCTCGAAATAGCAGAGTCAGGATCCCCAGCTTCCGAAGCGGAATCATTCCAGAAAGCGAGCAGTATCAACAAGCGATAGATGCGCTCGCTCGACACCGCCGCCGCCAGCGAGGGCGATGCACGGGGTAGATTGACATTCAATGAATACAAGAAGATCGTCTCGATCAACTCTACCGGAAGAGTCTCCAGTATGGACAATGTTTTGCGACGTTTCGACGGCCTGGCGGCCCACAGGCGAGCTCTCTTGTTGCTCTTGGACTGCGACGAGTCGAGCCTCGCCTGACGGGACATTAAGGGCCGGCCGCCCTTGGGCCCGCTTGGTATTGCCTTCGCCCCTTGATCATGGTTGGGGTTCTGTGCAGGGACTTTCTTTCTGCGGCCGCGGACCCTGATCGGGGTCAGCATGCCCGGCTCAGGGGAGCGAGTGGAGTTCGTCCGGCGAGAGTTAAGCTAGTCTTTGCTCCATGACAAGCGAGCCTGTAGATTCTCGAGGAATGTACACGACCCGGTTTGAAGCACAGTTTAGCCCAGTAGGGCTGGGGGTGGCAGAAGTGCAATGACGATATCTTTGATACTTGGGAATCTTGACAGCATAACATCACAAAAGAGCCGTAGCCAATGAGGAAGAGGTCTGTGAAGAGCCTTACCATAAAGAGAGGTAAAGGGTTATCATGGTCAGCTGATATGCCCTAGAACTAGCCTACTTGCGGCATAGTGTAGAAGAGCAAAGGCAAGTGATGATGTCATAGCATGATGTGCATTTGAGTATCTCCAGTTTCTCGACGCCACTTGCGCAGGCCACCAGCCCTGAATCTATATCAAGAACAAATACGATTGCAAAGTCAAGCATCCTGAATGGTCAAGGAACGTGTTAAGCTCTCCCTGGATCCAACCACTTTTTTTTTAGGACCACCTGACAGCTAGTCCATTGATCCACACTCAATTCGCCCAATGCAGACGAATAGAACCAAGAAATCAGGATGGACAGCGTCGATATGACGGCATCAAGTAGTGTTTGGACCTGGCTCGGTGGAGGTCACCATGCCATAGAATTACGTCCTTCGTAGCACCTCCTTTCTCCAGGCTTCTATTCTTTCCTGCCCCTTTCATGATAATCACTTGTCACATTCCTGGCATATCCTATCCTCATACATCATTCCGAGCCCTTGGCGCCATTGTGACATCGTACCTGCCATATATAGTCTCTACTTTCTTCCCTCCGGCCTTGAACGATGCGTCCATTCTCTGATACCACTGTCCACTCTCCTGCATCTTCCAGTGCTTTGCCAAACACACCTAACGCTTCCTCCTCCAAAACACAAACCGTGATATACGTCAAGACAAAGATTCCACAATAAACAAGAACATCTGATCAATATGGGTGCCGTCGTGTCTTGTGTATGTACTTTCCTCCCAGGGAAGTTTTGCATGTCTTTGCTGACCACTCCATAGATCCAGGACGTCTTCCGTTCCATCGGCGCCTGCCTGATGGGCATCGTCAATACCATCGGCGCAGTCCTGAAAGCCATCATCAATGGTGTCGTCTCCCTCTGCGATATCCTCATTTCATGCCTCACTTGTGGCTACTGTGGAAACCGGGGGAGGATGAGGTCTTCGAGACATCGACGATCAAGAGTTTAATCGCTCGCACCCGTCGCACGCGATGAGTTATGATGGATATGATACGCATTGTGTTCATGGACTTGTCTTTTCGGTTCCGTCTCATTATTCGTCCACGTTCGCGCTTTTTTCATCTGCTTTCTCCATACCCCAGCAATGTTGGTTGTCACTAGAATCTTTATGTATTTTTAAAGGGTAACGGTCAATCCATGACTTCGCCTCTCCCTTGTTCACGTCTCTCGTAGAGCGTCGATTGTTAAAAGCCTATACCTCATGCCGGGGGACTTAGTCCTGCTTTTGCGATCAATTCCTCCTTGAGCCGTGTATCAGACCAAGGTAAATCGTCCCAACGTTCCCGAACCAGAAAGTTGAGGAAAGGATCACTTGAAGAGTCCGCGTACTTCATAGCTGCCTTGAAATGAACCGGAAGTATAGGCCAGCGGATGGGATATTTATATACTCGGATCCGAATGAAGAGTTCCACAAGTATCTCGAAAGTACCGTAATCACGGCTCCGGATTACCTGGCGAAGCAGACGCCCAGAGCGCTCATGTTCGTCATCGTCATCAATGTATAACTCCGTACTTAGTAATTTAAGGAACTCGATCTTCGTATCTGTCCATGGACGACCAAGCAACCTATCTGGCATACGCGATGGATTTTTACCCGCACAACAGGGTAGTCGAAAGAGATCGATCTCGGTATGAATCGGATTCGGTTTGCGAATCTGAAAGGCACCAATGTTGAACCACACTGCGACTCTATACTCCGCATTGGTTTCTGGATCTTGAGCCCTGCAAATCAGATCGCCTTTTCCTATGCGGCCTTGGTGTCCCTGATCGTAGCGTTTGAGGTCGTGGAAGTGTTCCCTGATGTTGGCTAGGGTGTCGCTGTCTTCAGGGGAGAACACTAGGTCTCGACACTTGAGACGGATGGCGTGTTCGATATATTCCCTCTGGCATTCGCGCATGAGCTCTAGCGTACACCAGCGGCATGCGAGAATGGTGCTTTGGAGATCTCTTCGTTCTTCTGTAGATAACGCGAAATAGTCCAGTGGCGGAGGGAGGAAGTATGGTGTGAAGAAGTCATTCTTGGAGCTCTCATTGGAACTACTGAAGGCCAGACGAATGAGCCAGGTATAGAGGATCGGATTTGATAGAGCCCTAGCCAGGCGAATCGAGGCTCTTGGAAGATTGAACTCGAGACTGTGTAGGAAGATCTTCTGGAGGAGCTCCACTGGGAGACATTCCAACCCAGACTTAGCCTCCACTGGAGGTAGTTCCTGATTCATCTGCTCGGAGTCGTGTCCCTGACGAATCTCATGCGATCGTTTGATGGGATATGACATGGTATGAATGGTCGTGGTGCAATCAAAAGCGTCGAAAATATGTTGATACTCATGTCATGATATGGGTAAATCCATATATAGTGTCTCGGATCAGTCGGGCTCTGCAATAAGAGGCCAGGTAAGACCGCGCAGTCACAGGAGTAGCTGACTCTCTTGAATCATCTTTATTGTCAAATATGTCTCTGGAAATATTACTGCAGGACGAGGGTTGGGCACTCGCCCGCTAACTCGATATTATTCTCAGGTTTCGATCCAGAGAAGTAACCAACAATACCAGTCGGACCAATGCTCTCTGACTGGAATAGATGAATGGACAGCATCAATGCTACTGACTATGACCCGATCAAAGCAAAGCTGAAATATTGGAAAAGGCGTGCAAACCGAGTCGCTAAGAGACTAATAGTAGCATAAGTTCGATTTCCAGGAACAGGGGCTGAAGGCGGAGCAAACGGAGTTCGTTGATGGTCCAGCATTTGACACACTCGATATATCCGAAACTTGTGCCAGTTGGCCAATCATCAGAACTCTGACAGTTGACGGGCCTGTTTATGTTTTTTTTTGTTGCTTGCATCTTTTGAATGTCAATAATCGTTTTACGCATCTCGGCAATTACAGGAGCAAGCGAGTCTCCAGCACAATGCTCGCCCTGGGCTTGTAAGGGAACGCGATCTACAGCACTTTGGAATATATATGCGAGAAATCGCAAATCAATGAAGATGGGAGTATTCAAGAATCGAAAAGGACGAGTCCTGGCTACGAGCCGAAGGCGGAAAAGGCCGGATGCATAAATGCAGGGAAACCGTCTTCTAATTGCAACATTGATTCTATACACATCCGACGACCAATGAAAACACTGCCAGGTATCAGGAATGGTAACCATTCATTAACAGATTTGACAAGAAGTTATCGTCGTGTGATTCCATTGGTTGTAGGATAAAAGATGCGGAAAATGGGATGCAAATGCTGACAATTTAAACAGCGGACAAGTCACCGAAGCGCTCCTATTAAAACAATGGTCATCAGTAAATCGACTCAAATAAAGCAAATGTCTAGGAATCGCAACTCACCTTGTATCCGGCCGGCATCCATCTGCCCCTAGAGACGAGCGCAGCAGTCTTCTCGTCAATCTCAGGCTGAGCAGCAGCGACCTCATCCTAAAAAAAAGTCAATTCATATGCCTTTCAAACCAATAGCCTTCCGTCTTGTAATCTGAGACATACCACAGTGAGCTCATCGAAGGGACGAGCGGTCTCGATGTTCTCCAGAGTCTTCTCCAGGTTGCGGAGCTCGGACTCGACCTTGCCCTTGGTCTCCTCAGCGCTCTTGACGGCCTGAGCCTCGAAGGCATCGATAGCCTTCAACTGACGGCTGACATCGTAGGTAGCGGGCTTGAAGTTCTTGAAGTATCCCTCAATCTCGTTGACAATAGCCTGGTTCTTCAGGACGCTGCGGTAGTGGTCGAAGTTGACGGTCTGGGGCTGCTCGGAAAGGAGCTGGACCTTGCGGCGCGCATCATCGTTACGCTTCTTGAACGCCTGGAGAGAGGCAGCGGTCTGGCCGCGGAGGCCGAGAGAGCTGGTCACCTTGACCCAGTCGATCTTGAGAGCGGCGCTACGCTGTAAAAATGAGGGTTAGCGATTCGATTTCCTGCCAACCCAACTGATATCCCTGTTAGAAAAGCGCAAGCAACATACAGCAGCCATTTTTATATGTGGTATGGTGGAGGATTGGGTGAAGAGGGGGAGTTCAACGTGCGAAGCTGGACATTCCGGGATGAGGGTTGTTTCGGCAAGGTTTGGATGGGGATAAAATCACGTGACTACTTTGTTCCCGTGTTCCGAAATGCCCATCCAACAACAGCCCCAAACCATCAGACAGGCTGAGCGATTAGATAGATACGCATCAATATTTATTGGAACTTTAGGTGTAATGTCTTCCATTATTGTAAACATTGAGGTACAACATTCTAGGGCAACAGTGGGACGTAGAAAAGAGTAATTTAAATCCGGTCAATTCTGCTTTTTTGAACTAACTGATTTACACTAAGGGCGAGACAGAACATGCGTCCGAGGGATATCAACCTGACGTCGCACCCAAAGTTCATCCTGCCAGCAGGGCTAAGAGAGGTCAGCCACTGATAGCCTGGATTCAATTGGCGGGGTTTATATGCTGAGTGCCATGATCGAGTTGACGATATCGTTGTCGTTCTCGCGCAGGGCCTTGACGGCCTTCTTGCGTGACACATTAGCCTGAGCCATGACGAGCTCAATGTCCTTGGCCTCGAGGCCAGTCTCATCGACCTCCTCACCATCATCCTCTTCCTCCTCCTTCTTGGCCTCGGTCTCGGGGGCCTTGCCCTTGCCGTGGTCGTGGTCGTGGTCGTGACCGGCGTGCTCGCCAGCGGCGGCCTCAGCGGCAGCCAGCTGCTGAGCAGCGGAGGCCTGAGCCTGGGAGTTCAGGTCCTCGATCTTGGCCTCACCGAAGATGCTGTTTAAATGTGTAAGCTAAAGGATAGACGTTCATCGAAAGAATCCGTAGGACACATACATCCAGGTGTTGCTGGAGGGAGAGCGGTAGACATCGGGCTGGTTGATGACGAAGAGAATCTGCAGAGGATGTATTAGCTTCTGCTCTTTCCCATTTGGGCTCTGCCTTCCAGGAACCCGAGATATCTGGACTGTTTGAATGTCGCGCGGAGGGGCCGTGTTCTTACGTTCTTGGGTCTGCGGAGGGTGACACGAGTGATGCCGGGAACGTGCTTCAGGCCGAGCTTGCCAATGGCCTTTCTGGCCTTCTTCTCGTTACGGGAGTGGATGGTGACGGCGGCGCCAGCGGGGATGCTGGACTCCTCACCAGCCTCAGACTCAGAGTCGCTGCCAGCATCCTCAACGTTGGCCTTGGGAACCTCCTCGTCAGGGAGCTCTTCAATACGGGGATCAGCCATTTTCGCGGTCTAAACGAGCCTAGAGGGGCTTTTGGATTGACAGTTAGCGATTCGAACTGTAGCACCGTCTGGTCGTTCAAATATAACGTTGAAAAATGCCCCACGAAACACTGAAATCTCCACCAAAGTGCAGGAAATTCGAAATTCGAGCCAGAGATTGAATTTAGAACCTAGAATCAATATAAACATACCTAGTTCACAGATAGAGGGCTGTTGGGGATGAATGGGGGTTTTTTTGTCTTGTTGTAAGTGGAAGGTCGCAAAGCTGTGTGAATGCCATCCTGCCGAAAATCGTTAGCGAGCTGATTGTGACCCTCACCCCGGACTCACACAAGCACCACCTTTACAAGCTATACAAGTCACAATGAACCAATTCCAACTCAAAAGTACATATAAAGATATATTCTTACATTTTCCATGATGCAATGGAGTCTAAAATGTTTTAATTCCCAATTAATATCTAAGGAGACGGCTAAAATCCAGAGCCATAAATTAATCGGGTGCGCCATTCTGATGACATAGTAAGGTAGGATAATCCGTGTCAGGATATCGAGGTTTTGAATCATTTTTTGGCTGTCATTGTAGTGGATACAGCTTATTTTTTGCTGAAATAGAATAAAACCCTCAGCCATGTAAAACCGTCCCAAGGTACCCCTTCATACTATGCACCGAGCCTCATGAAAACATCTATGACTTAGGAGCAGCAGCCCTGACCTTAGCGTGAGCCTTCTGGACCTCGTAGCGAGCCTGTTAAATCACCAACTGTCAGCAACCGATCGCAGATTATCTTGCAAGTAATTCCTTCTCTTTCCTCTCGCGATAAGCGATCGCAGAGTGGCCGAAATGTTCTCCAATGTCCCATCACCATTCACCGTAGACTGCACGTACCTGCTTTCTGAGTCTGAGGACCTTGAAGCGCTCGAAGTCGGTCAAGTTCTTCCTCCGCTCAGCGCGCTCAGTCTTCTGCGCAATGGTGCTCTTAGCCCACTTTCCATCGATCTCGTTCTTCTCCCAGAGCTTCTTCACGGGGCCAGTGCCGGCAGCGCGGGGGAGTTTGGGAATGACGAAGGGGGTGAGAGTGGCGTGAGCGAGAGGGAGGGCGTGACGGGGAACGATCTTGTTCTCCTCGGTGGAAGGACCGTCAACCAGGACCTATCATCGCGACTTTTGTCAATATCACATCCGACCATAATCTTTCCGTCCTGCGCTCAGATTTCCTCCGTTGAAAACGTACACGCTTGTGGTCGATGATCTCGACAATGGCAGCAAGCTTGCCGGTGAAAGGACCGCTGCGGATCAGCAGAACACGGCCAACCTCAACAAGCTTCCATTGAGCAATCTTGACATCGATATCGGCCATGGCGAAGGCTTCCTATAAAACGACAAAAAACGGGGTCTTCAGTGACAGTCCAATAATGCGATAGAGGGCGTAGATTTCACACTCACGGTCGACAGACTCCGGGAGGGCGGTGATGGGAATTTGTTGTCGAAGAGTCGGGGTTGTCAAAGTCGTCCGAAACGCACAAGTCGCTCTGGACTGCTGGATCGCGAATTTCGAGTGTTGCGGCGTTCGCCCACAGAGTCTCGCTTAGCAGCCAGTAGCAACTCGCCGAACGGGGTTGCGTGCGGCCTAGGGCTGCTTTTCGCTGGAGCCTTGGCGCTTCAAGTCCGGCTTCACCCATTTTTCCGTTCCGGTAGAACTACATTTAAGCTTCGCCCAAAACATTTTGCTTACCTTCTTCTTGCATCTGCGAAGCTCTTTGAGTTGGCCCTCGGAGCATTCATTCAGAACAAAATGTGGTTCTGGCTATGCTTTTCGTGACTGACTTGATCTAGACAGGTTCCTACATGCAATATCTCATCTTGACTGGTATGTTTTTCTACTTCTATTTTCTCAATTGTCACCTTTCACATGATGCGGTAATTTGCGATTGACGCAGTGTCTGTGAACCCTCGCCGGGGTTTCTTATGCAGCGCTGCCGCATGATATTCATTTCTTACATATTCTGATATTTCTTGACTGCTCTTCTTTTATGATTGTCATGATTCCTGCTTTCAGCGAGCTGACTCTTCGAAGACATTTTAGCTTCTCGTCTACTTGTCAATCCCATCAATCAACAAACATCTCTGGTACGTTCGACTTTTGTCTCCTCAATCACTGTCCGATGATTACACCTTTTGCACTGCCTAGATAGTATATGATGCCTCTGGCCATGATATGTTGCATTATCACCAAGATCTCTGAGGACTTGTGACCTTTCAACTTTTGCTTGTACATTTGTTGATTTTTTTTTTGCATCTGTCTAACATGAGACATTTACAGGTTATGGTAGACTCGATTATGGACCCTTGGATAGTCATTGAAAAAGCAATAATATGAATGCTTTAATTAGTCCTCAATAGCCAGCTCTAGACTTGTTACTTAGTACTCGCTGTATATTTCTCCTCTAGGTGTTCTGTGATCGTTGCCTGAGAATCTTCGCAAAGTGGCTGCAACTGGTACTAAGAAGCGTGTGGAAACTCAAAGAAATTCATTTCAATAGTTCATAGAGGCCGCAATGAATATCCGGCAAGCAAAGACGGAGGGTCGAGGCCATAAGAGAGTGCTTGCTTTTCATGAAGCCCGTCTATATCATTATTATGTGCAACTTCACTGTCATTAAATGGAATCATGACAGTGACCCGGCGCCCTTTGCAGCCGCTGAGGCAACAGTAGCTGGGCCCTCGCGACTCAGCACCCACATGAAGATGAACTGGATGACATAAGAGTAGATGAACAGGAACTGAGTTCGACGATTGCGCTGCGAACGGGCAACTGTATGCATCGAACCGGCGCGCATGGACGCGTCACTGGTTGAGTCTGGGAGAAGAACGTACTTCAACGAGCGGAGCTGGGAACTTGTCAACGGACTGGTAGGCTGAAGTCACAATGATTTTCACTTACCAAGAAGAACGCATTGGCGAGGAATGTGTAAATGAACACAACCCAGCCAACCCAACCGCCAGTTCCCCTTCCTGGCGTCAGGATTTCGGACATAACTAGAGTTGCAATGATGCCAACGAACTTGTAGCCAGAGTACGCCACAAGGTCCAACAGCTGAGACTCATTGTTGATGCTGAGAATGTACATGGCCAACTTGAGACAGAGTAGTTCAAACACCATGACCGCAATAGCCGTCGTAGTTATCGAGCCAAGTAGCTCCGGATGGAAGTGACCTCGGAATCCCGCCAGCACCGCTGAAAGAAGAATATAGGTGACGAGTGCCATCACAGGGATGTACATATCTGGAGAGTTCAAATCGTCACGAGGGGGGAGGAACATGGATGAGTACTGTTGCTGAGCAATCTGGCCATTAGGACCCGTTGACGATGTTGTTAGACGTGCTTGCTGACGAGACCAAGGCTTGTGTCGCCAGGGGAAGAGCACGAGTGCAAGCTTATTCAGGACGTAAGAATTCGAAACGTTGAAGTAATGTTTGAGAGCTGGTATGGAGACATAGCGATTGAACTATCGAGATTCAGCACACACTCGTAGTTTTGGGGGCTGGTAGGTTTGTCTGTCAGTGCACTCACGTTCTGTTCCATATACTCCTGACCAGCAGCCATCGCCGTCTTCCCAACCTGGAATCCCATCTGTGCTGTGGGATCACTGATGAACCCACTAAAACCAGGCGCATATGTTCCGCTGCCGCCCTGCGCAGGAGAGGGTTGATAAGGATTACCATAGCCAGACGACTGAGGTTGCTGGGATGTTGGGGGAGGAGGCGAGCGCATCATGGGAACGGTAGAGACATGCTGAGGCACAGGATGGTGGAGTGGAGGTGACTGCGCCGGCGGCGGTGCGAAAGACTGGCGATACATGCTGACTTTTCTGTATAATTGGAAAGCTAGTGATGAACAAAAGACTCGAGAATATTCTGTCTTGGCTTCTAGCAGCTGAAGCGTGGGGATACTGAAAATCGGGACAGTTCGAGTGCGAGTGATGTTGAAGTGTGTTTATACGTGGCTGGACTCCATCCGATCGCCGAGAGCTCTCACCTTTTCCGCCCGCGGTTCCCCACCACAACTAGTAGCTACTACACTCATCTGTCCGTTCCCCAAACCGACGCCGCTCACTACGAATAGCATACGAAAAAAGTGCTTACGACATGCTAGAAGCCTTCGAAATCTTGACTACCTCCGGGGTGGTGCTTTGGTCAAAGTCTTATGCGCCGGTGGGAGCGCATGTGGTCAACAGCCTAATCAACGATGTCTTCATTGAGGAGAAGGTTCGAGCGCAACATCAGGCAACGAGCGGTGCAGCTCCGATGTACAAGAAGGAAAAGTATACTCTGAAATGGAAGCGAATCAAGGATTTCAATCTGATCTTTGTGGTATGTTCATGTCGCAATTTGATTTTCTGGCGCCGCTGACTCTGATTCTCATAGGCTGTGTATCAATCTCTGCTACATCTTGGTTGGATTGACAAACTCTTGGATAATATTTCGACCATATTCATCGACTTATATAAAGATGAATTGAAGAGCGCACGTGCTAGGATTATTGAGTACCCGTTCGATAAGTACTTCGACCAGCAGGTGCGAGAGCTTGAGAACAATGCCGGGGCTCCTACATCAGAAACTCTCGTAGCAGAGATCAAGGAGAGAAAGGACCCCCTTGTTTCATCAGATAATGGCGGGCCACCTCCGCCGCCCGTCCCTGCTCTGCTCAAAGGTATTTTACGTCGATATTTTTTCTCTGCTCGTGACTGTTGCTAACTACCTCCCGAAGCGCAACGTTCGGTTGCGCAGGGCGCGGCGACCTCAGATGAGAGCTCGCCACCCCAAACCCCAGATCTTTCTCGATCATCAACGCCCGTTTCAGGTCATCTGTTGACCGCCAAGGGAGGGCCTGCCGGCCGCGCCTCTCGCCGCGCGCGCAAAGCGGCCAATGCGACTGCTAATGCTTCTTCTGGAGATGAAAGCATTCGGAAGGGGAAAACACCAAAAAGTGGGAAAAAGATGCGCAAGTGGGATGCTGATGGCTTTGCGGATGAGGACGATGGCAAGGTTCTCGATTACTCCGCGCCAGCAGATGGCGAGGACGCATCGGCTCCAGTAGTAGAGGCTGTCGCGCAAGAATCCTGGGGACGCCGAACTGGCAAGGGTCAATTTGTCCTGAAAGATCTAGGGGATGAAGTCCATTCTATACTTGAGAATGCTGATCATGAAAAGGCAAAGGTTTCCTCGTCCACCGGTCTCGTTGGGTCAGGAGTCAACGCAATTGGCGGTTTCTTCCGTAATATTGTCGGCGGCAAGGTCCTTACTGAGGCTGACTTGGAGAATCCCTTGAAAGCTATGGAAGACCACTTGCTGAAGAAGAACGTTGCGCGTGAAGCGGCCGTCCGTTTATGTGAAGGCGTCCAGCGCGAATTGGTTGGGAAGAAGACCGGCAACTTTCAAAGCGTTGATGCAGCGCTGCGCTCAGCAATGGAGTCCTCGTTGCGCAAAATATTGACACCTACGTCATCTCTAGATTTACTGCGTGAGATCGATGCTGTTAGATCTCCTACGAGCAAAGGACAGGCTCCTCGCCCATATGTCATCTCAATTGTGGGCGTCAATGGTGTTGGAAAGTCAACAAATCTGGGCAAGATCTGTTACTTCCTGCTCCAGAATAACTATCGTGTTCTGATTGCAGCGTGTGACACCTTCCGCTCTGGAGCAGTTGAACAGTTACGAGTCCATGCTCGCAACTTGAAGGAGCTTAGTGCTCGAGAGAATTCTGGAGAAGTTGAACTCTACGAGAAGGGATACGGGAAGGATGCAGCGAATGTAGCAAAGGATGCAGTGGAGTACGGTGCGGCGAATCAATTCGATGTCGTCTTGATTGATACTGCCGGTCGGCGTCATAATGACCAACGCCTTATGTCTTCGCTTGAGAAGTTCGCGAAGTTTGCCAAACCGGATAAGATCTTCATGGTCGGTGAAGCCCTCGTCGGTACAGACAGTGTGATGCAGGCTCGCAACTTCAACCAAGCCTTTGGCACTGGGAGAAACCTCGATGGGTTCATCATCAGTAAATGTGATACCGTTGGTGACATGGTAGGTACTCTTGTCAGCATGGTGCATGCGACAGGCATTCCTATTGTGTTTTTGGGCGTGGGTCAGCACTATGGTGATTTGAGGGGCCTAAGTGTGCCTTGGGCCGTCAATCTGTTGATGAAGTGAGAGCGCAGCTTTTGCCATGTTATGGAGTTTCAAGTCATTTCGCTTCTAGTCATGCCAGATCCTGGAATGATCTTGTAAATTAGCTTTCATTGCGAAGTATAGGCCATCTATCTCCTGAGGGTGTAAAAAAACCTCTAGAATAGAAATCTGGCCCAAGACAATGGGAAAAAGAGGCAAAAAGAGGCAAAAAGAGGCAAAAAACAGTGACCTACGCAGGATTCGAACCTGCAATCTCTTGATCCGTAGTCAAGCGCCTTACCATTGGGCCAGCAGGCCTTATTAGACTGTTCTGACAATATAAGGCTCTATGATCCACTAACAGTGGGAAACAAAAAGTCATTGCAGGAGGAACCCTACGAGGCTACGAGATTCTGAACGATGCGTTTATTTTGGTTCGCCTCGAAGTATGACATCATGTGTTCTACGGAGATGGTCCCGATCACTACGCTGCAGAGTGTAGAGCTTATTATCTC